ACCAAGGAACTCATCAACCATGTCATCAAGCCTAGGAATTGGGTGCCTATATTTTATGGTGATGTTGTTGATGGCTCTACAGTCACAACACATCCTCTATTTTGTAGACACCCAATTTCATCCAGACCTAAAAGACAAAGAAATGGACCTTTGTTATGAAGGAAAGAAGCTCCTAAAGCATGAAGACAACATGACATGACAGTGAGAGGGCTAGAAGCCCAAAGAAATTGGTTTAGTAACCCACAATGAGCCGTTCCAAAACTAGAACAGGTTCTTCCCAAGCTGGAATAGGTCGTTCCCATACTGAAACAGGTCGTTCTAGACCACTAAACAACCCCATAACCCTAGTTGAGAATGGGCCAGAACTGACCGTTCTTAAGCAGTTTGTTATGAGTTAAACGTAAATCTAGAACGGGTCGTTCTGACAACAGAACGGGTCGTTCCAATTTCATATTTAACCCATAACAAAATTAACCAGAATGGGTCGTTCCGATCCCAGAACGGGTCATTTTGGTCAGATTTGAAGTCTATAAATAGTAGACTCAGACACTGCTCTCGAGGCTAAAAAAATTCATCTAGAATCCCAGATAGCTCGAAATATCTCCCCCCCCCCTCTCTCTCTTTTTATTTCTTGAAATCTGTTAGGTATTTGTGTAGTGTGAAAGGCAAAGCACCTAAAAATCCCACATTTGAAGAACATCAATAAAGCTTTCCATGAGGTATTATACACCGATCTCTTTCTCCATCTCCCACCTCTTTTATTTTAAATATCATTATAATAAAAGAAATAACCATGTAGACATCCTAGGTTAATTTATGTAATTTAAGTTTCATGTATATAAATAATCATCAATAAAGGGGACTTAATATTTAAATTATTATCTCTTATGTTAGCTTCATCATAGGGTACTGATAAAGGGCGTTGTAGGGGTGCTTAATACCTTCCCTACATGTAACCGACCCCCGAACCCAGTTTTGGTTATCAAGGCCATTATTGGATTTTCATAAACCTTT